TGAATCAGCCCTTAAGCAGTTGGTTGGTAAAAGGTAATAGGTAATATTCACATACATTATTTATGAAGGTTAGTAAGGCTTTTAAAATGGTTTTGAGCTTGGATGAAAGGAATTCTGTACATGAAATTATATTAATATAACCTTTGACCTGACCTGGGGAAATCAGTGTTATTGATTTCTTTCTGTATAATTTATAATACCTAATTCCTTATATATGAGTGACCATTTGGTTAGGTTTTATGGAAATATGCAAAACAGGAAGTATTAGCATTTCTTTAAAAGCAAACACAACCTACTAGGCAAGGAGTTTAAATAATGAGAATAGAATGTCAGCAGAAGAGAGCGATGTGGAAGGGAGAAAAATAAGGAAATTATAATTTGAACAAGAGTGGTAATGCCAGTCTTTCTCAAGAAATATGCAAATAATATTTTAAAAGTATAAGAAATTACCAATTAACATATCTAATAGCCTGAGCCCATTTGAGAGGGAAGGAACTGGGTTCTGTTCATCTTTGTGTCCCTGCATCTTATAGCATATGCTCTCGCAGAACTGAATGTTACTTTTGATACAGAGCTTATAGGGAAAATAAGCAAAACAAATTTGAGGTTAGGATCTGAGATGGAGATTAGGCATATGATGTAAAAGTTCTGGGTAGTAGATATTTGGTTGGAGCTAGGAAAGTGTGGAATTGAAATGTGTACAGTAGTCCCCCCTTTTCTGTGGGCATATGCTCCAAGACCCCCAGTGGATGCCTAAAACCAAGGGTAGTACCAATCCTTAGTCAACGTCTTCAACTTGTCAGTTTCTTCATGGGCAGATGTAACCTATCCAGTAATTTTTGTATTTTCAGCCCAAGCCCATTCTTCATTCTTGAATCCCTTACTTGCAGTAAATGGCTTGGTGTCACTTGTTTTAGGGGATCTCTTGCGGAAGTCTTCATTATAGGCTCAATGCTTTCTGGTGTAACACCTTGTTGTCTATCAGAACACGTTTTCTGTTCATGTTTTCCATCCACAAATCAATGTCTTTTTCCATCTTAACTAAGCACTTACCATGCACTGTGGCTGTAATTGTGCAGTTTTAGGTATGACAGCAAAACGAGCACAGATCTTTTTCCTCCTTCATAATTTCATGGATAGAAGATTTATTCTTGTCATAGACCTTAGCAACCTCAGCATATGATTTTTTTCTTTCCTTATTAAGTTGAGAACATTCACCTTTTTACTTAAAGGAAGCACCTCACAGTTTCTCTTTGACATATCTGAGTTGCCAGTATCATTACTCTTGTACTTTGGGGCCATTATTAAGTAAAATAAGGGTGACTTGAACACACACACTGTAGTACCTTGACAGTCGACCTGATAACTGAGACAGCTACTATGTGAGTAATGGGTGGGGAGCATGTACAGCATGGAGACGCAGGGGAGAGGGATCCTTCACATCCTGGGCACGACAGAGGGACGGCGTGAGCTTTCATCATGCTATTTAGAACAACATGCAATTTAAAACTTATGAATTGTTTATTCCTGGAATTTTCAGACTACTGTGGACCACAGGTAACTGAAACCGTGGAAAGCAATTGTATCTTTAAAAAGAAAAGCTGCAGTGTGTATAATGGGATAAAG